GGGGGCTAAGAACATGCTTATCTCCCTGAGCCTGGCCTTCATAAGTCCATTCCATCACAATCGTCGAGGGTTGTCCCTTGGAAATGTGCAAGGAGAGGATAGGTCTTCCTTAGCTTCCAGTGATTTTGCAGCCTCATAACCTGAGATCATCTCCTGCATACCTGTAATGGTATGTGGGAATGGCCTTGGGAGATGGAGAAGAGCAGCAAGGGGAATGGTCAGATAACAGTCAGCTTGTAGGGTGGAGGGGGGAATGTGCTTTCAGACTTGCAAGATTGATGTCAGCCTTGCAAGGTAGTCCAGACAAGAAGCACGCCCAGATATACTAATTCTAATTCATGTAAGGTTACATTAACAGAATCTTGCAAGTCTGAAAGTACATCTCTCCCCCCACTCCTCACCTTTATAGTCCAAGAAACTAGGGAGGGTCCCTTCTGAGAGGTTTTCCACCCCCCCATTCCTTCTACAGGCTCAGCTGCCTTTTATCCAACCATTCCCCTGATTGCAGCTCTTCCCCCTGTCTCCCAAGGTCATTCCCACATACCATTACAATCCCCCCCCCAAAAAAAAAAAAAAAAACCAGGAGGAGTCTGGTAGCACTTTTTCTGATCAGCAAATTTTATTAAAAAGCATCAGCTTTCATGAACTGCAGCTGGATCCAGAAGGAGCCTTGGTACAGGGAAAACTGATTGGGTGAAATTCATCCATACAGTGATTTGGGCTTTTTTTTCCCCCCTTACAGAAGAGGAGCTGGCCTAGTTTTTATCTTAGTGTAATTATGGCACATTTATTCTTGAGTATTGTGAATTTTTGTTTCGTTTTTCCCACCCTCCTTCCAGATCTTTTCTACTAAGTCTGCTCCCTGTTTTCCAAAAGCTGTAGGCATTCCCTTAAGTTTTCACCTAAGAGCGGTTGACTATTGGATGTCCTTTGAAAAAAAAAAATTAATATTATTTACAATACAGTGAAGAACTTATAAAAGCAGGATATTTATAACCATATTTCAGTGAATTATTTAGGCACCCGCAACTGGGTAGTAAGCCATCATTATGTTTTGGTTGCAAGTAATTAAGATGTTGAAACCAGATAGGATAAAATTGATCTGTATTGTAATATATTTATTAGATTTGAACTTGGCCCTTCTAAGTTTTTTTGTTCACCCAAATGATAGCTTAGAACTGAAAGAATCGCTACATTTCTTTGTAGGTTGCAGTCATACAGGTAGAGGCAAGATTCTGGAAACCAGAAAGGATGAATTATCTCCATATAGTGACCGATATGTTGGAAAGCTGCTGCAGTGGAAAAGTTGACCAAAAAAAGGTGTCGGTGATATTGACTACCAGAAGGCACCTTGTGACCACCCTTTCTTGGGACTCATCAGATGTAGGTAGCCAGATGTTACTCTATGGGGTCAAACAACTACTAGGAATTGAACTCACAGATCTTGGCATTTGAAATGACTATCTCTAGCTCATTAGCACATCTATCTACGTCCCGGTGCTCGGCAGTTACAGGAGAGGAATCTAGAAGTTCTCAGAATGTTATATCTAGTCCATCTTCTCCTAAGTTCTCCGAGAAGAGAGTTGCAGGGGTTACATTATTTCTTGACCCCAACATATCAAGTTTTATATCACGTCCACTCCCCCTCTTGGAGAGGGGTGGGGAAATTTCTCTATTTTTACCCAGCGTCTATTCTGTGCAGTATTCTTCAGTCACATTGACCATCAGGAGGCACTGCATGACCAGTTTCATCCTTATTGAATTGTCAGACGCAGGCAGCCAGATGTTATTCTACGGCAGTGTTTCTCAACCTTAGCAACTTTAAGATGCGTGAAAGTACTTTCAACTCTCCTTGAAAGTAACAAGCTGTGGAGCGTGGGGAAAAAATCTCTTGACATCTGAAGTGCAGTGACCCATAAGTTAAATTCCCAATTGAGGGTTTGAGCCCCATGGAAAGATAATGGCTATGTATGTCTGATGAGTCCAAATATAGCAGCATTTCTCAACCTCAGC